CTTCATCTTACATAGTATAAGCATGTTGTCAGGAGGGATTGTCCTTGGAAAAAGACATCATACTGGAAAAAGTAGAGGCAGTAAAAGACTTTGAGTGAAATGGATTGACACAGTGACTGCAGCAGTGGGCTTGAGCATGGTGGAGATCATGAAGAGGGTTTGCACGTGGTAGACAGCATGCAGATGGTGAATGATTCAGCGAGGATTTGGTCTGTTTATAGGTCTACTCTGAGACATAGTTGGTATTATAACAGCTTCTAACAAGAACGCTATCATAGGTATCCATGAATCAGAATTGAGTCAATGTCAATGTTTGTTTCTTTATACTAAGTATTGTATTTGATAGTTTACTCATCACATAATAGTTTAAAATTCCAGATTGGTAGGTGAAGTTACCAAATTTTTCTAATGAGAAAGGGCACACTGAGAGTTCAAGGATCTTCAGCAAAATAGTATGGTTAAGAAGTGGAAGAATTAGGAATTGAGTCTAATTTATCCTACTCTATAGTTAATAGTCTTTGGTACATTGCTATGCAACATCCGTTTATTTAAACAATCTCTGCTCCAAGGGAGAAAGATGAGCAATCTCCTCTTGAGCGATTTACAGTCTGAAAACCTCTTGAAAGGTCAGCCATGAGTCACTTCTGACTCAGTGGCAATGAATTCTTGTTTGGTTGGTGTGTTTCCCCCCTTCTCTGTGCCAAATTTTGTGTCTCATAAAACTCTTTACTCCATGTGAACCTAAGATTCTTTTGGAAATCAGTTTATTCATTTTATTTGATTATTTTTTTCTTAGTGTTCTATTTCATTCTGTTTGTCTTATGGAACAATGTATTTGTAATTGATACTATCTTAGTTTTAGGATAATTCAAGAGCTTAGACTTCGAATTATAGTCTAAAGGAAAAAAATTAATATTGGTTTAAACTAGGATTAGTCTGAGGAAATTTAATGTTAGATTTTAAAATAGAAAGAATTTGAGTTTTCCATTGATAGCAAACATTAAAGTACCTAATAGTTAAAACTAAAAATAAAAATTGTTTTATTTTATCCTTTACATAGTTTTTTAAAGAAACTTTACTAAAGTTTTTAATTCATCATGTAAAAGGGAGCTCTGTTCATGTAATCCATAGGGAATTATACTACTGACCCAAAGGTATCCACTCCAGAGGTTTGAATCCACGAGCAACTCAGTGGGAGAAAGATGGCCAGCCTCTTCCCAGGAAATTTACAGCCTTTGGAAACCTACTGGAGGGTCAGCTATGAGTCAGTTCTGAATCATAGTAATGAGTGGGTGAATGAGTGAGTCAATTGTTAGGGCATCTCTCATGTCTTCCCATTTTTATGCCTTGTCAGTTCTAAATCTTTTGGCTTTACACTAAATGGAATTTTTAAAAAGTGTCTTTTCAAATGTATCTCCTTGTGTTCACAGCATAAATGCTATTTTAATATGCCTCTCTTGGTTTTCTCTGTCTCTCTTTTATACTATATAGCAATGTACATGGCTTTCTCACTGTTTGCTTAAAATAACCCTCTTTCCAAAATGAGCGTAAACTACACTTCTTCTCTGGTGCTTTGTCTGACTGCAGTGGTTTTCAGTAAACCTTCTTCAGAAGATCACTAGAATTTGTATTTTATGTCATACAGTTAACATTTATTTTCACTTTATATTCTGTTACTAAGATTCTAATTTTCCTGGTTGTTTCTATAAATTTTCTAATTATCTCTACAGTACTCTTAAAATGTAATGATACCAAAATACAGCCAGAAATACACAATCTGAAGAGGATAAAATTGATGCATGAGACCTTCTAAAGATTAAATCTATGTGTGCATCAAAACCTTTTTCCAAAAGGGTAAAAAGAAAACCTACAGACTGGGAACAAACATTTGGTGATACCATCTCAGACAAGAGTCTTATAACAAAATTTACAGAATACTCCTGGGTCTCCACAAGAGAAAGACTGATAACCCAATTACAAAATGGGCAAAAGACATGGAAAGAATTTTCACACAGGAAGATATTCAAATGGCAAACAGACACATGAAGAATTGCTTCAAATTGGCAGTAAGAGAGATGCAAATCAGAACCACAGTGAGGTACCATCTCACTCCAGTAATGGTGGCAAAGTTTTAACAGGGCAGCAAATAATAAATGTTGGAGAGGATGTGGCAAGAAAGGAACTCTTATACATTGTTTGTGGGATTGTAAACTGATAAAACCGTTCTGGAAGGCAGTTTGGCGCTTCCTCAAAAAGTTGAACATAGAAATTCTATATGATCCAGCTATTCCATTACTTGGAATATATCCTGAGAAAATGATAATTGAGGCACAGACTGAGATTTGTACACCAATGTTCATAGCAGCATCATTCACCAACGCAAGAACATGGAAACAGCCCATATGTCCAACCACAAATGAATGGATTAAAATTATGGTACATTCACACAATGGAATACTATGCAGCATGCAGGAGCCATGACTTTGTAAATTATTACCCAACTTAGGAGAGACTAGAGAGCATTATGCTGAGTAAACTAACTCAGTCCTACAAGGATAAATATTGTATAAAACCATTATTATAGAATGAGTATAAGGATCTAAGAGGGGTGGGAGAGGTTGGAAGCAGAGGGATGAGGATGTGCAGGGGGAGAAAGGGATTAATCATGAGGTTGTATGATTTGTTGGATGGGGAGATGGGGGAAATTGAAATAATTTGTTCTTGAAAACAATGTATTAGAAGTTTGTAAATAAACTAGAAAATTAAAAAAATGGCCAATAAAAAAAAAGTTAACATTGAAATGTTAAAAAAAAAAAGACTTAAATGATAGGAAAAACTTCAGATATCATACCTTATGCCCAGTTATCCAGAACCTTGAAGAAATAAAAGATGTCTTCTTAATTTAGTTTTGTGTAATAAATTTTTTATGACACTTTTTTTGAGAATACTTATCAACGACTTACTCTTTTTCATCTCAGAAAAAGTTCAGCTTGACTTACTTGAAAAGATTAAGCCATATTCTTTTAAAAACTATTAGAATATTCAGAGTCTTCGAATGAAAGAAAACCATATCACATTTTGCTCTTAATAAGCTTTTCTTTTAATCAGCTTGTAAATTTAATGAATATGGGTAATGCTCTGGCATCATTCGAAGAGGGTTTAAAATTTGTCTGCTTGAATAAGTGACACAGAATAAAACCTTAGAACAACAGTGATACTTTACCAACTCTCCGTGGAGGGAAAAAATTATGGTTAATTTTGTGAAATACATTTTTCTTTGCTGTATATGGTGGATAATGTTCTCTTTGCCTAAAAAAAACCCCAGAATATAGATTCTTAATTACTTGAGCATATCAGTTTATAAAATCATTAGTCTCAGAAGATACTTCGTTACCCCTCATAATTCAAACATTATAAAAATATTACCAAGCCATGCATTGGTTTTGGTGCACTAACCTTTCAACAATTTGTCATTTACTGTATTATGTTAAGATCGAGAATCTTAACTGTCATCTTTTTTGTGTATGTGTGTTCATCAGAACTACGTATTTTTTCTTTTCCTTTTTAAAATTTATTATTAATTTCAGTGAAAATTTACAGAGACTTTAGATTTCCATTCATTCATTGTTGTACTTTTCTCCCCTCCCAACCTCCCCACCCCCAGTACACTACCTTGTTGGAAAAGTAAAAGAAAAATTATTTCATTGTTTTACAATCCCTCCCCTCAGGTCCACTCCACTAGGCAGCCTTTGCTCTGGATTCTTGTCATGGCAAGAATACCTAATCACATATCCCTTTTAAACAGTTTTCTCCCCCATCTGTTTCAATGCAGTATACATTATTGAACCCATCTTTCTCAGTCTCCCCCAACACTGATGTCAGTCCTGTTTTACAACAGTGGCACCATGCAGTATTTGTCCTTTTGTGACTGAGATACTTCACTCAGCATAATGTCCTCCAGGGTTACCCATTTTTAACTGTCATCTTAAAGACCCTTTTCAGACTAGCCCCAGCCATACTAACCTTCTTTCTGTGCTTGCATGTGTGGAATACTTTGCCAGCTCAGTTAATTCTTGTATACTTGATTCAGCAGGTGACAGTTGTTAAGAGAAACTTGCACAGATCCTTTCATCTGATGTTCCCCCATCTAAAATCTATCAGTGTACCTTCCCTTTTCCTTCATAAATTTATTCCTGTCTCTGTTTTGGTTGTTTAACTATATGACATCCTAATCCAGACCCAAGAGCTCTTTGAATGATCCTGTCTATTTTTGTTCTCTGAGGAAGGAATCTTTAGCAATTAATATAAGCTAAGACTGGTCCATATGGATGCTGCTGCTTCTGAAGACGGTTCAGAGGAACTATGGGGTTTTCCTCCAAATTCTGAATACTTCCACAAGGCTTAGAATTCTTTTACTGATCCAGTGTCTAAGAAAAGGTAACATAAGGGAGATGTTATAATCTCAGAATATCAACTCTTTTAGTTTTTCAACTAGGAGCTGGACTTTATGTTTTATTTTTTTTCCCCCTTGATTCTACTAGTTTTTGGTTTTTTTTTTAAATACCAGGGAAATAGGATAGTTTAAAAAAATCCCTTGTACAATGTTAAAAACACCAGTAGTTTTTCTAAGTTAACCAAAGCAAGGATTGAGTAGTTGGTAGGTATAGTCAAGTTGAGTAGCTCGTAGAGACCATGTGAACAGCATAACAAAACCTTACCTGTACTGTGCCATGCTGTGATCTCTTCCAGGCTCAGAGTCATTGTTGCAGTCACTGTGCCAACCTACTGAGGGTCTTGCTGTCTTTCCGTAGAGGTGGTCTTTCTTTAAAGAAAGCTCCCAAGACAGAGTATTACCAAAAAAATCTTCAGTTAGTTAAATATAAGTTCCTTTAAATTTTCAGCAAATTTTAAATTTGCATGACATACATTTTAAAAGACAGCAGGTAGTATCCTGAGATTTTATCAGAGATAATGTGTTTGTGTGTTGTGTCTGGTTGTAGGCAGTATGAAACTGTGGTTCCACTTGAAGATTCTATTGTCACAGAGGTTACAGCAACTCTTCAGGAATGGGCCAGTCTGTGGAAACAACTATACGTGGTAAGTAGTTGATAACTAATCCTACTTTACATGATACCCAGTAAAAATTGTTTTTTTAACCTGTGCGAATTCTGCATTTTTTGTATGTCTCAATATTTGCACTTTTCAAATGTATGTTTCTGGTAATAACTGAAATATGGGTGGCTGAGTTTTGAGTTTTTGCCAGCTTGGAGGAAATACACTTTTCACATGTCCTCAGATTCCTTATTCCAGTCTTAACAACTAATGTATTAACTGTTTCTTGTGTCACCATCCATTCAGCTACTTTAGTGAAATAAGTATTTACCAAATGCATAAATAGATTTGAGAATGACTTAATTTTGTAATTTTTTTGAGTCTGTTGATGGGAAGAGGCAAAAAAATTGTATTAGCAGTGGTTATATAGCTACATAAAGAGCTCTGTTTTTGAAGTGGATTGAGTGTTGGATTGCTAAGAAAAAGGTCAGAAGCATCACTGTGAGTCAGAATACATTTGATGCCTGTAGGTTGATTTGTTAAAGTGGACTGGGGAAAAGGGGTGAGGGAGGATAAAGGAAATTATGCAACAATGAAGGAATAATTTTTTTTAAAGTGAGTTAGGGGAGTAGGAAGGAAAATGTACAACAAAGAATGAATGAAAATCCTACTTTTCTATGATCTTTTGTTAAAATAACAATTAAAAAAATATATATATTTTACCAAATGGGTAAAGGACACTTAGGTAGGGCAATGGTTAATAAATTAATGAAAAAAAATCACAGTTCTTAAGGAAATTGGAAAATAAAATACTATATGGCACACATGAAAAAATACATGACAGGGATTTATTTTCAAAATAGATGAAATAAGTATATTTCCTTTGTACTCTTTCCATTAATCATTATACAGAACTTTGGACAAAATATGTACATCACCTTCAAGAAAACTCTGAAAGGTTTAAAGAAAAAAAAGTCAAAATGGCTAGTGACCTTGAGACTTTAGGGTTGACCCTGTAGTAAGTTCTTTGGAGTTTTTCCTTTCCTCTCATATGTCCTTGTCTGTGTATAGAGAAGTCTGAAACCTGGAAATGTCAGTGGGCACAGGGAAAAAAATGATTCTAAGGAAAGCTAAGGCATGGTTTAACAGGATAGAATTCATTTAATAAATACCTTGCTTTTGTCTAGGTGAATACAAAAATCAAAGCTGAACCCCTTTCCACCCGATGGGCAGTACAGCAGTGAAAATCCATGTCCTGCTTTCCCATCCCATCACCCTTCTTTTAATGAGGAGATGTTCCTTTCTAGTCAAGTATATATAAGTGGTACTCTGATTTCTACCTTACAAGTATTTCCAAGGCAATACCTCTTCCCAGCAGAGCCTGTAGGCAAGAAGACTAGCCTTCACTGGCACCCAGGGTTAATGAGGCAGTGTCTGTATTGCGAAGAGTTTTCTAGGCAGTACTCCGATTTTCTACTAAAGGAATGGCTTGTCTTCCACGAATTGCTTACAGCTATATTGTGGTGCCCTTTTTGGCTATGACTGTGGATAGGATTCTGTTCCCCCCGCCCCAACTCCTTATAAGTGCCCCTCCCTAGTGAATTTGGTGGACAAAACCGTATCCTTTTCCAGATAAACTTAGATAAGGCTCTTTTCTCTTAAGACTGTTTCTGAGATAACAGTAAGCAGAGTCCTGCCATCTAGGTAACATACAAATTGAGGAGGCTAGAAGAGCACTACAGAGGCTTTAGAACCTAACTTGCGTTTTCAACCACACAACTCAAAACGAGCTTGGGAGGGAAGATGAGCTTGGCAATAAAAGTGAAATCTACAAGGTTAGCCAGAGTTTTTAAGTGGAACAATGCATTTAGAGGAATCATACTACCCAGTTTTAAGGTTTGATTTGTTGTTGTGAAACATAGAGTTGGGACCGACCCATAACTGACCCTTTCTCAGGTTTTCACAAGCAACAGTTAAATTGCACGGGAGGAGATTGCCCATCCTTCTTTCATAAAGTAGCTGATGTATTTGAACCACTTGCCTTCAAGATTGTAGCACAGCTTCTTGCCACTAGGCCATCAGTGTTTACTCTAGCTGTAATAATAAAGATAGAGTGGTATTGACAGAGCCATAGATTCATAGATTAATGGGATAGAATAAAGCCCAGACAGATCCATTTAAGTACAGACATTTTGTTGACAATCAGTCAGTGTTTGACAAAAGTGCAAAGAAAATTTAGTGGAAGAAAAACTTTTTAATAAGTGGTGTTGAAACAACTGGAAACTCATTAAAAAAAGCAATAAACAAACACACTCCAAACCTCAAACAAACACAAAGCAGGAAATAACAGCGGCAGTGATGATGTTGACTTGATACTCCAGAAAAAAAATAACAGCAATAATAACATTGGTCTAAGTATCACGTGCGTGCATCGTGCATGCGCAGACATACACACACACACACACACACAGAGAGAGAGAGAGAAATTAATTTAAAATGGCTTTTAAAAAATTTAAAATGCTTGATTCTGACTTGTGGCAGCCCTGTAGGGCAGAGTAGAATAGCCACTTTGGGACTTTAGACTGTAAATATTAACAAGAAGGGCCTACCTCATCTTCCTCTTTTAAAGCAACTAGTCACTTTGAACTACCAAGTTAAGTAGCAGCCACATACATTAGCCACAGCAGAATGCCTTCATATATCGCAGTGGGATATGCAACATTTCCAGGTTAAAATCTTCAAGACTTAAGGATTGATGAAGCATTCTTAGACATAACACTGAAGGAACAATCCATTCAGATGAAAATGAAAGTTGGAGACTATTCTAAATAGAATTAATGCAAACAAATAATTTTATAGTATCTTCCAGAGACTTTAAAATATCATTGTACTTTTAAATGTTCCTTTTTAGAAATAGGATTGCCTCCTTTTGTCATTTAAAAAAATTGCAGCATTTGTGATTAATTCTTTTTTTACCATATTCATTGCAAATATGTTTTTTATTTTTTTATTATTAAATTTTAATAGTTTTAATGAACATTTACAGAGATTTGGGGTTTTCATTCATTCATTCATTGTTGCACTGTTTTCTCTACCCTCCTCCCCAGTTCGTTCTTCTCCCCCCACTTGAATGTCTGTTTTAGTGGTCCAATTGCCACAGTGCTTGTCAAAGCCAGTTCTGATTAATTTCCTTTGTCAGTGTGTCCTTTGCCATTCCCTGTCACTCCTCCCTGAGAGAGACTTCACCCTGATTCATAAGGGAAAGGGGATGGTGTATTCTCTTAGCTACTTCCTGCTGAAAAGGGACGCTGTAGGTTTCAGGGTGAAGATCTTCTTCTCTCACTACTCTAAAGGACCCCTTTGGCAGTAGGAAACACATAGACTATTATAGAGATTGATTTTGGAATTTAGATGCACTGGATTAATTTTTATTACTCTATTTATACAACAATTTGTTGTTGTTGAAACCAACTCATAGCTGATCCTCTGGTGGGTTTCAGAAGTAATAAATCACATGATCAGTGATTGCCCATGCTTCTCCCATGGAATAGTTGGTATATTCTAACTGTATACCTTTCTGTTGGCAGTGAAATTCCTTACCACTTAGCCAAGTAAATTATTACTCTCTTTCTGTTATGAATGTGGGGAGTCAGCAATGTAGCTGGTTAGATTCAAAGCATAGTCATTCAACTGTTGGTAATTGTTGACAGAACTTCTCTTTAAGCAAATATATTTCATTTCAAATTTCATTTGATGCAATGCACAGAAATTGCTAGCTATATACATACACACTTACTGCTGTTAAATTGAAATTGACTCATAGCTGACCATCCAACAGGTTTTTTTCAGATGCTGTAAATCAAAAGAAAGAAAATTGCCCTTCTTTCTCCCATGGAGCAGCTAGTGGATTCAAACCACCCACCTTTGGGTTGACAGTGTAACTCCCTACAGACTAAGTTGTTGTTCTGTGCTGTTGTGTCAGAACCAACTCATAGCTGACCTTTAGTTGGTTTTTTAGAGGCAGTAAATTGCACAGGAGGAAATGGTCCTTTCTTCTGTGGAGCAAGTGGTGGATTAGAACTAGGTGCCTTTGAGATTGCAGCACAACTTCTTACCACTGGCACCATTTAAATGAACTAAACTAGTGTAAAAAGTTATTTGAATGAATAGAAGTCATCTCCAAATTACTCTTTCCACTGGGAAAGAACAAAAATTTTTTACTGAAATTAGAGAACCAAATAATTATGCCTTATTTTCCCCATCCTTAATTACAGACCTCACAGCTCTTTACTTAAGTCTTATTTTACAAAAAGGTAATTAATTTCCTGTCTGCCCTCTGAGAAGCAGCATACAGTAGAGCTAGAATGAATCTGGACCCTAGCTTCTGAGGTATAAATTTATTTGATTTTGAAAACAAGAGGAAAATAATACAGAGGACACAGTAATCTGTGAGAAACCAATTTCACCATTTATGTGATAGTAATATAAATTTTTTTATCTTCTTATATGAAAAATAAGGAATCTATAAAAAATAAGTTAACATTCACGGAAGCCACAGTCAAGAAATCATATAACATATGATTCATATGAATTATATAGGGAAAGTCTGTTGCAAAGGGTCTGAGTGCTTTAGGGTGCTAAAGGATAAGACTGCCACTTTGAGGACACAGGTGCACCTGATCTAAGCCATGGTATTTTCATTTGCTTCATATGTATGTGAAAGTTGGAAAGTGTACGGAAGAATGAAGATGAGTTGATATACTTGAATTGTGGACTTGATGAAGAATATGGAATTGATACAGGGACTGTGAAAAGAACAAGCAAATCTTTCTTGAAAGAAGTTCAGCTAGAGTGTTCCTCAGGAGCAGGGAGACTTAATCTCATGTACTTTGGACATGTAGTCAAGATGATTCAGCCCCTAAAATAGAACATCTTGCTTGGAATGGGAGAGTCAGCAAAGGAGAGAAACCCTGAGGATAGACTCACACAGTGACTGCACAGTGGAGTTCAAAACAGGATCACGAGGCTGGGGTAGGGTTGAGCAG